TATATATGTATATATATATATATATATATATATATATATATATATATATATATACATATATTGTATTACATTTATGTGTAGGCCTACAATACTTTAAAATAACCATTTATATTTCATACATGGTATTTCATACATTAATATTTAGAGGTAATTGCATATCAAATAGGCCCCTATATGAAGTATGTATACTTACATTTATAGAAACCAGATTTCTGGATGCTTTACTCAATACAACCAACTCATGATATATACAATATTTTATTTTCGCTTTTAATTTATCATAACTCTGTATTATATTATTTACTTGTATTATCATGTACAGTATTGTACTCGGGCTATAAAGATCTTTATGCTAAGGCAATTAATTTCTTTACATGTGTTGTTGTTTATGTTCGTTAAGTTTTTTTGTATTTCAAAGTCGGAAATTAATGCATTGCGGTATTAAAAAAAAATATTACGTTGTAATGCAAACGCAGTATTTCAGAAGAGAAATATTGGTGTCGTTATTAAAGAATGAAGTTCTTTACATGCACATTATAGTCATAATAAAGTATATATTTTTTTCTATTGCACGATTCGCGTTACAATTACATTCGAAAAGCGCGTGTACATCCATTCGAAATTGAGGAAGACCCTTTAGAAATTAAACTTTAAAATTAGCACTGCACAGTTTATTCTTTGAGAAAAACCTTAGAAATGGAATTAAAACTTTAAAGAGTTCAATTCGAAGTTGTGACCACAGATAAATCAAATCAAGTAGTTTATAGTATTTTACTACACAGAGGTATTTAAATACTCATTTATTCTTTCTTGTTCTAATTATGATTTAAAGGCTGATGTAAATTTAATGTAGACAAAGTGAGCGTTTTTAAAATTCTAAAGTTTAATGATTGATAAACGCGTTTTGATGGTTCAGAATTGCGTCAATATTTTAATGTGTCATGCGTCATGCATTAATTAGCTGAACATGGCGCTGTCGGTAGAATGGAGTTAGTGCAATTGAACATGTAAATATATTGTAATTGGTGTAATCAAGAAACATAACATTGAAATTAGTATAGCCTTTTGGTTTTCAGTTCGTCAGTTGTTATTTTTTTTTTAAAGATGTTTGCTTATTAGATTTTCGAAATGTTATAGTATAAGCCAAGCCTTTGTTTTAGTTTGTCAGTTAGTCATTTTTTTCCAAGATTTATGTCACATAGGAAATCAAAGTAGTTCATAACATTTCCATAGAATTAAGATTTTCCACAAAAAGAAATCGTAACTGCATTAGGAATTTGATCTTTTAACTCTAGGATTAAATGTATTGTAACGGCTGTTTAAGATCAAAGTAGGCTCTTGTATCCACGTGAGCTTTATGTATCCATATAACTCAGTCTTGCCATGTGAAGGACAAAAGTGACGCCTAGCCTCATTGATACACTCACTGAACTGAATAGTTTTAAGATTGCAATTATTAAGTGATTGCAAACAATAATTATTCGTTCATTTTATCGCACAAATTATGAAAATAAATCAGGTATCTTAACTCATCAAGTGTTCTTCGAACGAATTCCGTGCTACAGTATAATAGAATGTAATTAAGGTTTAAATAACCTTTGTGATTACTGCTAATTTCGACCGATTGGTTTTATGTACTCCTTAGTTTTGTATTCAAATGTCTTGATTATCGGTTGTTGCTGAACACATTTGATTAATTGATTGATTAATTAATAATTGATTGATTTATTTATTTATTAATAATTGATTGATTGATTAATTGATTGATTGATTGATTGATTGATTTATTGATTGATTGATTTATTGATTGATTGATTGAGTAATCTGCTTTAGCTGCATCTAATGCTCTGTCATCACTATCACATTTTCTTTGACAATGAAAGTGTTGTATTCCATATAATTATAGTGATGATGCGCCTATATATAGTTATGATGTGATGTCATCATGACCATATTTAGGCATTTCACATATTTTTGTTTTAGGGATCTTGGTGGTGGTGGTGGTGGTGGTGGCGGTGGTGGTGGTGGTGGTGGTAATGATGATTGTGATATTGATGACGATGATGGTGATAATATCGTAAGATATGGTCTTTAGCGGCCGCCAATGGGAGGGTGGATGGACACCCAGCAGCATGAAAAAAAAAACCAGCTGAACAAAGGGCGGAGCCAACGGCCAACCATGCCTTAGTTTAAGGAGTAGGTTTTTTTTAGTTTCATAAAATAACTTCAACTTTCTTTTTTCTCAAAATGTCCAAATCAAAGAGCTCAATCACCAAGCGCATAGAGGCTTTTTCGCATGATGCGCTCTACAAATCCAACTATTATTATTATTATTATAACTCCTCGGAGCCAACGGCCAACCATGCTTTAGTTTAAGGAGTAGGTTTTTTAGTTTCATATACAACTTTTTTCAAAATGTCAAACTCAAAGAGCTCAATCACCAAGCGCATAGAGGCTTTTATTGCATGATGCGCTATACAAATCCAACTATTATTATTATTATTATTATTATTATTATTAAAGATTTAAACATTCACAGGATATAATCAAATTATATGTTTACATGTGAACGTACATACACACGATAGTACATTCACCGTAGGATGCCTATAATGATACAAGGCTATAGTATTTAATTCAATAGAGGCCCAGTAGGCCTTGCTTGCATCGTAAAAAATGCCTTTTATTAAAAACATAAGACATGATAGTAGGCATTTATAAGTACTAAACTGGCTGCTAATGTAAGATTTTTGGAATTACATTTCTATTGTAAATCTCATTTTTACTTTTTCAAATTGAATAAAAAGAACAGAATTGTGAAATAAAAAATGAAACTAACCAGGTTCACATTCAGAATTTAACGTGATCTAGTGGATCATGATCAAGCCAGTCACTTTATGTGAACCAACCTGAATCAAATAACGTGCCTAATGAGATTTTGATTTAAAGTCGGGATAGTTACTCAGAATAACTGACTTAACGACCTTTAAAAATCTTAAGAACTAAAGGATATCATAATTGTAAACAGTTTGTAACTGATTTAATTTTTCCACTAGTGTCTGTTGGTGCCAATAGCAGTTGTTGCCAAGTTTCGGTTGCCTACTAGTAGAAACAACATACACAAGAATCAGTAAAATGTTTGCGCAGGCACTAGTGTTTTAATTTTTTTCGCCAATTTCGGGCACAAAATGTTTTTATTTTGTTCTTATTTTACAAATTTTGCTTCTGAAAAATTTACAAAAGTATCGCAAACTTAATATTTCTAAAGCACAGGTGGCATCTATACGTAACTGTATCAGCTGGGCAACCACTAAAAGCATGTTCGTGAAAGTTGATATGCATGTAGGAATAAAATAGATGTTTTATTCCTCCATGATATATGTCATCGTCGACATTTGAAGGTTATTATGGATATAAAATACCCAAAAATGATTAAAAATAAATCTTCATGTTTAGGTAAAAAATCAGATACATTGACAAATTTTACGGAGTGATGAAACTCACTCCTGCACATTGTGCACTTGTGTTTGCCGTCAATCAATCAATAAACTGGAAAGGCCGAAAAGGAAGGTCTGTTTCTTTCCTCTATGTTCACATTATACTAACAAATTAAATCTGATTTAAAAGAAAGAGGGCCTAAATTTGAAACTGAAATGTTTGAAAAATGATTACTATTATGTAAAACGTGGCTGTCAACTTATCAGACAAAATTTATTTTGTGTCTGCCGTAAAGATTAGTAATAAATTTACACACTTTTCACAGATAGAAAATTAATATTGTACTGTAGATTATCACTGACAATCTTATAGAGGGGGTACAGATATGACCAAACTGAATTTACTGAGATTTAAAAAAAATTGTATACAAGATTTAATATGGAATGGAGTCATTTTGACCCTAAGTATGGTGTACTGACAGCAGTGTAATAACATAAATAAGCATATATATATATATATATGCTGTCTCTGAACCAATCGGTTCGTAACTCCGTTTCCGCATAACATGTTACATAAAACTATACGGAGTCTATATTGTTTATTCATGAGTATGGTAATAACTCATGACATCATACCACTGTTCCTTTATATTATAGGCTATGATAGAATTCGATAAAATGTATAGACGAAAAACGTCAACATAAAAAGAGAAGATACCCACACCTAGTTACTTAAATAAAAACTTCAACTTATATTTTATTTACCTCAGATTCATTCAATTCGTTTTTATATTGTTCTTATTTTTTAAGCTATTCCAGCCTCAGTATTTTTATAAAATGTGTTCTTATTTAAAAAAAAAGGTAGGACAATACAAAATTGTTCAGTTTTTTGTATTTCTGTTTTCTTTTTGTTGTCTGGTTACTTAGCATCCCTCGTTCGGGGTATGAATAGGACCTATTGATTCGCCTTTTGTCAAGATTGTTCATGTCGTTTTCGTCTGTGGGTTCAATACAGTACTGTGTGTACTACACAAACTTACTTATAATGTCGGGTCGTGAGGTACCGTCTGTGTGGCAGTTATTTGCTATATTATTTTTAGTTTTTGGTGAGTATAGCAATAATTATTTTTTTATTCTAATTGATGATATGTTTTAAAGATTTACTATACTGAAGTTAACATAGGGCTAATAATGATCATTTCCGCCATAATTCACGTGACCCGTTATGCAAGCACAACTGTATTAGTGTTCCACAAACCTGGCCTGTACATTATAAAACCTGGGGCGAAAATTCTATTTCTATGCATATTGGTAGGCCTAGGTCTATATATAAGAACAAACTCAACTTTTATTCCAAATAGAAATATCAGAGATATTACGTATTCATTTAACACAATTGTGATTGATACGATAGTTGACATACCTTATCCATGTGTGTAGTAGTTGAAGTCAGGCTCCAAAGGAAAAACAAATTCGATATATGTTGTACAATTGAGTTTTTCAATACACAAAAAAGGTATTCGACAAAAAAAAACCTCGGAAAAGGATTACGAGATACCGATTTTTTAATGTTTAAAAACCACGTTTTCTCCCATGATCCCGAATTCAAACACCCTTTTAGTGTTCAACATATCAAAAAACATTTTCCTCGGGAGCTTGGCATTAAGAACATTACTTTCCTAAAGTTTCCGGGTTTCTCTTTCTCTTAAGTTCCATGCGCTTTGTGCGACTACTGTGAAGGATATACGGACTCATCTGGGGTCTTTAATAGGGGGTTCTACTGTTTGCGTTACTATCAAGAATATTGCTGTGGATCAACTTCAACAGGAAAGTATTGCTGCGATTGGGAAGAATACCAAGACTGGTCCAAAGGTCAAGATGATGAAGGGTAAGGTCAGATATGGTATAGACGTATTAGACTTAAAAACTCTGTTCAGACAATTTTTCTTTGAAAAAACCCTGTTGTATGCCAGTTATGATGTGCCTATATATGGTCATGATGTGATGTCATTATGACCATATTAGGCATGTCACATGTTTCTGTCAAATAAAATTTGATAGTCTGGACAGGGCTTTGAACTGCTTAGGATATTGGATGATTTAAAATAAATTGTTATGGAAGTGGTTGGTGCAGTTGTGATTCAGGCAGCCTTGAGATCATGTGCCAAATATCATGTTGTATATTTCGCTTCTGTCATAGTTTTATCGTATGTTATAAATTTTAAACGGTGAAAAAGAGGAATCTGCGAGTGCGAAAAAAAAATGCTCCAACCAGGATTCGGACCTGGGAGTCTATGCAGACGCCTTAACCAACCGGGACATTGAAGTAGGAATCCGATTGGAGGCAATTCGCACTCTACTCTAGTATTTGATGCCCACACGTTAAACAGAGATCAATGTTATACGCCCTCTTCTCTTTATCTATTTATTGTTTCATACTACATAATAATAGGCCTAGGCATATTATGTCTTTCAATACATTATTTGATGTGGTGATAAAGTCATTCAGTCGTTCTAAAATTGTTGTTGTCAATATAAGTATGTTCACACTACTTAATTTGTGTTGCCTGTGTTGCAGTATTTAATGCACACTTAAGTTGGATTAGAAATGATAGAACTAAGCGTTGGCCACACTTCTAGTGTTTCAATGTTTGTCAAATTCCATTTAAACTAACCAGTAGACTACTCTTGCAGGAAGGCCATTATCAATCACACGACTTGGTGTTCAATGCACACCTCAACATTCCTTTAAAAAACCAGAAGAGTGTACTTATGGACTACAAATCTTTCGTCCGGTGTGTCACCATACTATTCACCTGCCTGAGACAAGGCCAGCCAAACTTACATTAAACGAATCGATAGGTTCCAAAAACGATTTTGTAAAAAACTATGACCTCAGTTGTCAATTGTTTCACTTGCAGCTTTTCAACACTAGACATGATATTTCTGGGTTCTCAATTTTTCGGACTATTAAGTTTGATGATTGTCCCCTTTCTCTACTACCCAACCCCTCTCTGCTTCCTTGCAGAGTTCACACAAGACAAGCCTCTCACTCAGCATTCTAAGTCAGTCCATCTCTCACGTTCTTCACACCCTTTCATTGGCACGTTTAGTTGGCTGTCGAATAAATTTCCACAGTCTGTTATTGTTCCACCACTACACAAATATTTCAGCATTACTAAGTGTTGCACCTTGACTCGTTTTTATGTTCACTGTTTGTTGTGACTTTCTCTCCCCCCCCCTCCCCCCCCACTCTCTCTCTCTCTCTCTCTCTCTCTCTAATCTCTTGATTATTTTTATTTCTTTTGGTTTTTCTGCCCTTCTTGTACAGCGTTTAATCCGCTGTTGAGGATTAATGTTTGTATATTTAAATAAATTCTGTGAATGTATTTTTATACTGAGACTTTACCATTTTAAATTAAAGTTTTTCCTTTTAGGCACTATCACAGTAATGATTATTTTTTAAACATTATTCTTAATCTATAATACATGTTCCGGGACCAGAGATTTATGAATTTTCATGTCTGTGCTGCTTCCGCCCTGTCTACCATGTGATATTGTATGTATGTAATTGAATAACGAAAGAAAAAAAGAAAAAAAAAAGACATATCATTCATTTAACTCCTTTTTAAAATTTTCAGAATGAGTACATTGGTGGTAGTGTTGATTGGTGTTATAATATTTATTGGTGTCATCTCTTTTTGTATTATTTTCGTGTGTGTTTGTGTTGTGACTGCTCCAAACAGTAATTCGTCTACTAATGGATCCAGCGTTCACCTCAGACGTAAGTCAATTCCGTTGTAACAATTTGTAAAAAAAAGAATATATTCTTATAAGTACCATTTCAACTAAATCCACACTTTATACTTGCCAAACCTCACCGGCCGCACATGAATACAAGGTGCTGCTTTCGTACATGGTCAGATCGCAGAGGACATGTGTAGATATTAGATTAATAGTAACGGGAATTATTCCTACATCAGTCGGCTAAACTGGTCTGTGTGTGTGCGTTGAACCGGCGCTCCAACCCATGGAATTACAGTCCAAAAGGATTGCTTATTGTACAAATGCCAAATAAAATAATCGACTTCAAATCCATTTTGTTGAGAACTAAAAATTGTACATACAAACACAATTTTAAACTTGTATATAAAGCTCTGATTTATCGATAATATTTATATTTTAACATAAAACAACTTATTTTACCCTTTATATGTTGCTTTATATTATTTTGCTGCTAGCTGCACTTTGGAGAGCTCCCAGACAGTAGCCTTAACGCCGATTTTGAGCAATCCCGTCTGGTGATAGCTAGAATTGTTTCTTTTCTGTTTTTTTCCTTTTTGTTGTTTATCTGTTACTGTGTATGTTGAACTGAAGACGAAATAAATTACATGATATGATTTCAAATATTTAGGTTTGGGTAGGCCTATATCTCTTGTGAAAATTTGAATTGCTGGTGAGGTACCAGAGCTAGATTAATCTTGACAAACTTCTTGAATGAGAAAAACTAACCAATAGACAACAATCCTCTTGATGAATCTAAGATGTGGCATAATAAAATAGATTTACCCCCATATATCACCATTTAACAAGTTGATCCTTTATTTTAATTATTATTTTTAAGGAACGAGAGTGATGCCGAAACCAGACAATGAAATATTAGGCCCTCCTCCATATCCTGCGATGGGACCACCACCAGCCTACGACGACATATACCAACATTCTGAAAATCATAATAGACCACCAGCTTACACGGTGTCAGCGCAGGTTCCATCTATAACAATAAGACCAGTTCATCAAGTGGATACTTCAGCCATAAAGTAAATGAATGTAAATGTATAATACAGGTTTATCATTGTGTTTCTGACTCCAGGGTTTGTAAACGTTCGCCAGGAATACAGAATACAGAATACAACACTTTGATTGGTCTTGGAAAGAGCACAATGTACAAGCGTCGTTGTTGGCAAACCATGTAAAAGTCACTACAGAATATAATACAAATATTAAATCCCGTATATCGTAAAAAAACACAAAAACATTATGATATGGCACAAATGATATAAAATGGTATATTAAAATTCGTTCTTACAAAATTGTAATTACTGCAAAACATTACAAACATTCAGTTGTACAAAGGTACTAACATTTGGTGGAAATGAAGACAATGAGAGTAACTGCTTGTGAGAGAAAGTGGTTTTACGTCGTTTTTTTATGTAAAGACAGCAACCATAATATTAGCAGTGGCTGATATAGGAATTCAAAATAGGGGACCGAGAGAAGTCCTTTCACAGATAGAGGGTCCACCCACCTCAGCCCATGGTGGGGGTATTAGGCATGAAAATTTACGATTATGCCACCTCCAGAAGGCCGGAAATGACACTCCCAGACCTAAATTTGATTATAGGCCTAATTTTATCTTTTCTCTATTTTTTCTATTTTAAAAATAAACACCCACAGCAGACTATAAGAATGTGTATTGGGGACTAAAATGTCATTGTCCTTTTTAATCTGTATTACAAATAGTCTACAAAAAAAGTCACCTTTTGTTACTGTTATTATTATATCATTTATTATTAGGCCTAGCATAAGACAGAGGTCATTACCATTAATATTAATATAAGGCAATTTGTTAAATAGTGGTGGTGGTGATGATGATGATGATGATGATTATGATGATGATGATGACGACGATGATGATGATGATGATGATTATGATGATGATGATGATGATGATGATGAAGAAGATGATGATGATGATGGTGGTGGTGATGGAAGTGGTGTTGATGACGATGATTGTGGTAAGTTTTTGACACACATGCAAATTGAAATTGTCAGTGTTTTTTTGTTTTGTTTTTTGTTTTGTTTTTGTTTTGTTTTAATTGTTAATTAGCCTCACACACAGTCAATGTGCACTTTGAGAAATAACCATTGTCATAGCGCCACTGAACATCACATTATACCGTGGATATTGGCGCTATATAAATCCTTGTTGATTGATCGACTGATTGATTGATACAGATTTAAACATTCAAAGGATATAATTAAATTATATTTGTTTACATGTGAACGGACATACACATACACATATCTCTTATACACATCTAGATGTGTATAAGAGACAGGTGTTTGTGTTGTGACTGCTCCAAACAGTAATTCGTCTACTAATGGATCCAGCGTTCACCTCAGACGTAAGTTAATTCCGTTGTAACAATTTGTAAAAAAAAAGAATATATTCTTATAAGTACCATTTCAACTTAATCCACACTTTATACTTGCCAAACCTCACCGGCCGCACATGAATACAAGGTGCTGCTTTCGTACATGGTCAGATCGCAGAGGACATGTGTAGATATTAGATTAATAGTAACGGGAATTATTCCTACATCAGTCGGCTAAACTGGTCTGTGTGTGTGCGTTGAACCGGCGCTCCAACCCATGGAATTACAGTCCAAAAGGATTGCTTATTGTACAAATGCCAAATAAAATAATCGACTTCAAATCCATTTTGTTGAGAACTAAAAATTGTACATACAAACACAATTTTAAACTTGTATATAAAGCTCTGATTTATCGATAATATTTATATTTTAACATAAAACAACTTATTTTACCCTTTATGTTGCTTTATATTATTTTGCTGCTAGCTGCACTTTGGAGACTGTCTCTTATCCACATCTAGATGTGTATAAGAGACAGGGGTATGAATAGGACCTATATATATAATTAGTCTATAAACAGAAAGGTCATATTGTATTACTATTATTATTATATTAGGCTATTTGTTATTAAGCCAAGCCTCAGACCGGAGGAGTCATATTCATCAATATTAACAATATTAATATAAGCCAATTTGTATAATATTCCCACGTTAACACTTATTCGAATGTGAACTCTTATGGTGTGCCAACCATGTTCATCCCAATAAACTTCTCCTGAAGTTTCCGCTCTTGTCGCCCTCTATAGTGCTAAACCGATTGCATAATAATAAATATTAAACCTATCAGACAACCTTCGTCTATGAATTGAAAAAAAAATAAAAAAACATAATTCATTTTGGACACGTGTTCTTGGGAATTACAATAACGAACTAATAACAGTAATGTGAATTACGGTACCGGGCATCAACGTTATCGTCGCCATCGTCATCACTTTTATCTCCATCACCATCATCATCATTATCATATTATCAACATCATCAACATCATCATCATATTTTTGCAGAAAGTGTATATCGGCTTCTGCTTTTGCAAACTTGTTACTGAGTTTTTCTAGTTGTCTTCATTATTGCTTGGTAACCGTCTAGTCGAAGTCGTCGATTATACACGGTATATTTAAAATGCTAAATAAAATATTGTAAGAGGTTAATGTTTTGTATTTGTGGTGCGTCATGTGGATGGTTCTTAAAATAACCTAAAACAATACACTAATAATCATTAATTCCTGATAATAAAGTGTTTCAATGTGTTCCATATGTGTTTGAGCCAATGACCGGGGTAGCTTAGAGGCTTTGTTAAGGCATTAAGCGTTATATAAGAACGATATATTATTATTATTATTATTATTTTATTTTGCCTGCCATAATTCGAATTAATGTCTATCCTTCAAGTACAATGTAAGAGTAAGCGTTGGAGTGCGCCCCCACTAATTAGTACCGCACGGAAAATGCTGTGTAAACGAATAAGCGTTCTTGAGGCTAAATAAACATAAGATTAATATTCCTGCTTTTATACAGCCACATTGTTTCACCTCCAAAATATAACTTTAAATTTAAATGTAAATATATGCATTATTTATCCTGAAGTGAGATATTTTATCGTCTGTAGACATGAGGCGTAGACCTACGGAAATCAGTTTGATTCCATTTCGAATCAAAGAACAGGGTGTGGATGTAAGGTGACATCTGGTATCCTGATATTATTATGGACATAAAAGTGGAAATCAATAATTTCCTAATAATACATTTGCGTAAATGAAGTTATACAAAGCGACACCAACCATAGATTTGGAATATTACGTTTCTAGAGAGCCTAAAGTCATACCAACCTCAGATAGGATATAAAAGAAAATAACATTATGATCAACGGGCTCTTCATCTCCCAAATGGGTAAGTTCTTCAAAATATTCGATATTATAGGCTTAATAGTGGTGACCGTTTCAAAATTAGAGTGTAGATGCTTCAGAAAAGGGCCGCATGTGCTGAGAGCTCCAGTGTCTTGGATAACAACAATTTTAA